GCCGATGGAAGTGCCTCCATGCCCAGGGCCCTCCCAGGTGCTCCTGTGAGACAGCCTTGTGCCTCCCCTCCAGCAGAGGGAGAGCACAGCCTGGAGGAGACACCAGGTCTTGCTTTTGTGCCTTTGATTCCTCTTTCAGAGCCTGTTTGACACAATGCTGGGCACTCACAGGGTTGAGATTTTACCTCTGTGGGGAGAGATGGGCATCAGCAGGTTGTTTGGCAGGAGGTGGCTGCATGCTGCCTTCACAGGTGAGCCATGGACCCAAGGAGAGCAGGTTCTGGCTGGGAGCAGACCAGGCAGGGGATAGTCACCAGAAGGATCCCTGAGGTGAGGGAGTGCCTCCTCCGTCCCTGCAACGTTTTTTGGGGCAGGCAGAGATGTGCCAAAGCCGAGCTCTGCCCTGTGTGTCCCTGCAGGAGGGGGTGTGCAGGCAGCATCTGAAGGCTGCTGTGTGCTTCGGGACGTGCTGTTCTCTGTTTAGTGCCAGGTTCCCTCTGGGGTCTCAGCCCCCAAAGCTGCCATCTTGCCTCAGGACACGGCTGCCTTCTGTCTTGGACCAAGACATTCCTGCCACGAGGCTGCTGTAGCTCTTGATGGTTCAATCATAAGTTATTTGTGCAACTTCTAACAGAGTTTGAGAATTATGAGTCTTCATTTCATAAATTAAAGATGATCTTTTCTCTACTGCTCGGTGATTTTACTAGCAGGTGTCTCTAACCTGGCCAGGTTCAGGCGGTGCCACAGGGGCACAACTGTGGTTGTATGGGAGGAGACTGCTTCTCTCCAGCAAAGACGTGAGAGGATCAGTTGGCTGGTGTACCAGCTGCCTTTTGGGGGGAGGTGAGTCACTTACCCCTGCTGCTCTGCAGCGCCTCAGGGACTGGACTGCCCTCTTGTTTCACCAGCTGCTTCTGGTGCCAAGGCTGGGGACAATTGCTGGCCTGGGTGCTGTGCCACCTTCCCATGTTTCCCCAGCCTGCCCTGGGAGCAAAGCTTCCCATCTTAGTTCTCAGCAAGTACCACCTCTTCTCACCAAGATGGTGGTGTCACCCAGGGCTGCCCTTGCTCACAGGCTCTGCCCCTCAGCTGCCCTTGCCCTGTCTGCAGTGAGAAACATTACATATCATAGTTGCTGAGGAGAGGAGCTTTGGATGCCACCAGTATGGATCTCGGCTGCAGCCCAGGACTCTCCTCCCTCAGCTCAAAAGCCAGATCAGGAATGCAGTCCTGGACCAGAGATGGTGTCTCCTTGCAGAGATTGGCCAGCAACAATTCTGCACAGGCAAGAGAAGAACACAAATTACTTCCTTAAAAATGCATATATGGGAAGAGGAGGCCAAGAGGCTGGAGGGTTGTATATGAATGACTTTATTTATGCTGGGCACTGCCAGGCAACATGGTTTGGACAGTGTGCGAGGGAACAGTCAGGCAGATCAAACAAATGCTGGATCGGAGACAGCACCTTTCTGTCCAGTCACTCAGGTTACAAAATGGAGAAGTGCTTCTGCCAGGCCAGCAGCAGGGCTGGGAGGTGAGGAAGGGATCACTGCCACTGCCTGGGGCATCTGGTAACTGGACCGAGAGAGGTTTGCTTCCTCCCCTCTGCACGCTGCAGCAAACCAGCAAGAATGCAACTGGTTTTCAAGCAGAAGGCTGAGCACTGACAGCTCTTTTCCTACCTGACAGGTTCTTGCTTAAAAAACACAGTCTGCTCTGATGGGGGGGTAGGTGAACAAGCAGCCTGGCCTCGGCTGGGAAGAGACCACCACACCTGCCTGCCTGCAGCCTCTCTGCGCCCAGCGGTGCCGCAGGGGCAGCGCTGCTGCTGCTTACACTCATCGCAGCTGGGGCAAGGCACCGGCTTTTGCCAGGCCTCTGCAGCAGCCCTCCAGCTCTTACCCCATCTCTGCGGTTGAGAGGGACCCCAGGGTGAGGTGTGGCAAGGAACAGAAAGGAGGTGAATGGGGATGAACTACCACCGAGCAACTGCAGCTCCACTGCTACTGCCCCGTATTGCAGAAAATTAATAATGGAGAAAAAAAAGAGAGCACCAAATAATGCCCAAGAAAAACCTAAAGGGGAAACAGTGACACAGCCCAACGCAAGCAGGGCTGTAGGCCTGCCCGTGGCTGTCAAAGCAGTGGAAGCAAAGCAGCCAGGCGGTGAGAGAAAGGCGAAGGCAGTACAGAACACAGCCACCCCAACAGCTTCCTGCTCACAAACCTGCTGCTCACACCACTGACTGTCCTGGTACAGCTTATTGTCCCCTGTTTAGTGTATCCTAGAGAGCAGCGAGACTCCCTGAGGAGCAGTTTCTGGGTGGTGTCGCAGGGCTGGTGGGCTATTCCACTAAAGCATGTGTGCTGTAAACAGTGTTAACATCAAACAACAGTAACAGGTGTTCAAAGAAGAGCCAAAGCATAATTCCCAGGTGCTGTGGTCAGTATTTGAGATATCCTCAGACATTTCAAGAAATAAAACAATTCTTACATTACAATGCACCTTTCCAACTATTAATCTTGCCCCAGAATGGATAAAGTACACGAGAGTTATGCCTGGCTGCAGATACATGCTCCCTTTGCCCTGACGTGGCAGGAAGGAGGGAAACAGCCTCGACTCTTACAGAGAAAGAACATGAGAACTCAGCACTGTAAACCTCGGCAGGTTGAGGGGGAACAGACAAGTGCCTTCACCCCCACTCTGGGGCACTTGCTTCCACAGGAGAAAAGGTATTTAAAACAAGGTATGAGAGAATAACCGTCTAGTACAATGACAGCTGATTAGATTTGCTTTGTTCTACTCCATGCAATACAAACTAAGACCTATCACCAACTTCTCCAGCTGCGGTGCAGACCCACACATCAGGCTGAGAAGTTACACACGCATACACGCACTCACGCACCAAAAACAGTGGGGGCAGATGGGCTTATTAACTGTTGAGAATGTATTTCTCTTAATAAAAAAATATATATTAAAAACAACTTCAAAAACCTACTGATGGTGAAGACACTGCTGAAGAAGAAAGTAGCGATGGGGCCTCAGCTATGTGTTTCCAGGCATTGCAGTCGGGCTGCCTAAAGCCTGCGTGCGCAGTCTGCGGTGGTTGGCTCCCTTCTGGCTTGCCAGGCAGTTCCCAGAAGCTGTTCCCTTTGTTTTTGCTTGCTTGTTTTACAGTGACTAATGTGATTGCGATAAAGAAATTAAGGGACTGAAATGAAAAAAGGAATGGGCCATTCTGGAGAAATTCAGATTGGTATTTTCTCCTTTCCATTAAAAAAAAAACAAAAACAAACCAAAACAACAAAAATAAAATAAAAAATAAGAAGTTAGTAGTACTAATAGAACCCTCCTGCTGCTGTCGTCTTTGCTCAGTGACATCGGGGCATGCTGGCGCACACACACACACACAGGCAGCTCTCAGACACTCGGACTCAGAAAAGCGAGTTTATAACTGAAGTGAGTCTTCGGAGGAGACCGAGGACAGGTCCCAGGGCTAGAAGGTTTTTCGGTAGATGGCACGGGCTCCGTCTTCTTCATATTCCTTTTTGGAAATCCACATTTTCTTAAAGGTGTCCAGTGACGCTAGGATAGAACCACTGGGGAAAGACAGACATGTTATGAGTTAAAGGAGAACACTGGGGGCACTCATCATGTCTCTGCCCAGATGAGCTATTTCTATTGCACAACACTTTAGAAGGGTGCTGAGGCTCCCAGCTACCTGCAGCAGAATCACTCTCCTGTTAGCCTTAAATGTGCTGGCACTACAGAGCCTGGCACCAGCCACCTCCCCCAAAACAACCTGCTGATGCTGCTCCAAACACCAGTTCTCTTCACACGGGATCTGGTCTCACTTTCCAGGATTATGGAGCAGAGTTTAGTTCTCCCAGTCAGCAGTGAAGATGTACACAAGAGGGAGAATGTACCTAAGGCCTCTGCCCTAAGGGATGTACTACCCATGAGCTTGGTCTATCTTAGACTGGATGTTAAGACTGGTAAGAGAGAAAATGAACAACTCCTGCAGAAGCCTTAAGGCCAGAAAAGGCGAAGGGGCTGGCAGTGCTGGTGGTCAGCTCAGTAACCACACCAAGCATCACGCAGCTCAACGATGAAACCCTCCCAACATGCAACACCAGAAGGGACAACAGCGTGAGTGACAACAGGCTGCACCTCCCAAGCCCTCATCCCACAGAAAGACGTGTCCCTGCGCAGTACGTACCCAATCCACGTGGAATACAATCTCTCCTGAGGAGCTGATATCTGGGAGAAAGAGAGATCAGTCAGGACCTTCCTGAGCTCCTGTCTGCTCCTCCTGGCACGCTGCACCCATTTCACTGCAGCTGACCACTGACAAACACAGGTATGATCTCTCCCTCCAGAAAAGACACCCAGCAGCACCCCCCAAAATTGTCACTGTGGTCCAGGATCCTGGACAGAGCTCATGTTGTCAGAGGAGCCTCCTTTTCAGTGATGAAACCAAACAGGTTTTCATCGCAACAGCAAATACTGTTGAGCTGTTTCAAGAAAGCGATTTCTGGCTTGAAGCAAATGTCAGCTGAGCCCTCAGTGTGGTTCTTTCAAGGGGACAAAGGCCACAGAACAGACATGGTAAGTGATAAACACAAAACATTGCTCCTACCCTTATTTTGACATCCTTCGGAGCTAGTTTCTTCACTTCACTCAACAGCCTGTCACCAAAGCCTGCACAAGACAGAAAATGGGTAATCTGAGCCCCTCAGCAAAATCCCAAATTTCATCTGCTCATGATGTGGACGTGTCCTACGCAGGGCTATTCAAATATCCCACTCCAGATCTCACAGAGAGACCAGTCTGAAGAGACACAGAACACAGCCAGTAAGGTAACAGGATTTTGTCTGTCTCAGACCTCAAACACGGGCACAACGGGCTCTATCCCTCAGCACCAACTTGAGACCAACAAACAAGATTTTTAGGTGGGACCACAGGTGGGCCAGTTCCCTCCTCCTTTCCTGGACACTCCTCCTGTGCCCAGTCCATTTGTACAGGGGAGCAGGGTTTGAACAGGAAGACCAGGACCTATCTGGAGATGTCCACCTGTGGTTAACAGGCTGACAGGTTCTGGCAGAGGGTCTCTTTAAGACCAGCTGAGCCATGAGGGGATGAGAAGAAAGTTTTCTGTACACACATAGCTGACACTTCATGCAGTACCAGGACTGTTGGACTCTCTCAGGTACCAAAGATCTAAGGAACCTTAGGAGATGCAAAAGTCTTTAACATATCCAGTCTCAACTATTCCGAACTAGAGCAGCAGAAATGAACACAACTATTCAGTCCTGACACAGGCAGAATGACAGGAGGAAAAAGATAAAAGCCCCCCAAGCCACGGAACTGATACACAAGAGCAGAGGTGTCTTGCATACCCAGAAGGATATGACTAGGCCTCAGAAAACTAGACAGTAACCCCACCCTGAGAGCAGAGTTCTCACAGCCCTCACCCCACAGGACAAGTTGGGTGGTGTAGGCTATCTTCCCAGTTTCACAGGAGAAGGAAGCAAGAAATCAGGTACGTCACAGCCCACTGAAAGAGGAGAGGCAGGCACCTTTGAAAAGCGTGGACCCTCCAGACAGCACGATGTTGGAGAACAGTGTTCGCCTCAGGTCCATGTCTGATTTTTGAATGGCAAAAACGAGCACCTCGTGGAGTCCTTCACATTCCTCCCCTATCAGGTCTGGCCGGAACAGGAGCTCCGGGGCTCGAAAACGGGCAGGACCGATCTGCAAGGGGAGAAGTTAGCACACAGGGCAAGAGAGAGTGTGGCTCTGCTCACCTTCTACAGTTTGGGTCTGCCTGTCTTAAGTGAAACTTCAGAGTAACAAATTCACTGGTCATTCATGGTGCATCAGTAGCTCCCAAGTGAATGCCAGTTTGGTCTACTGCTCCTGGAAAAGGTGCTATTTCCATTTTGCAGATGAAAGAGATGAAGAAACTTGCTCAGCCCCACACAGCAGGTCACAGCAGAAAAGGGAGCAGATCCACCCTTGGTGCTGGAGGAAAGACCTGTATTTCCCCTCCTTCAACCATTCTATAGAGGGCTCAGTCTTTTGAGAAACACTCTTAACTCACTCTTCAAAGCAGTTGTTTCTGCACCTCAAGGCAGGACCAAAGCCACATGCAAACCACTGCTGAATTTACAGTGAGCTGATAACTACCCACACTCTGTTCCTGATGTGCATAAAGATTTGCTAGCTGAGAGCCTGCACTCAAACAGCTCAGAGTCCCCACAGTCATGCTGCATCCTCACCCAGGACTTCCAGTAGAAGTTGTGAGGTTTCTAATAATGTTTTCTTAGTCTAAAAATTCTAGTGTCCAGTCAACAGTCTGGGATGAGTTCTGGTCTTTTAAAATTATCCCCTCCCACATAACACCACATTAAATTTCCCATCACTAGGCAGGAGGTTATTCTGGAAACCCTGTGCTTCCCACCAGCAATCCTCTGAGGGTGGTCCTTACAAACCTCAATAGTGCTTCCGTCCGGCAGGTAGTACTGAGCCTTCTCAGTCTCCAGAGTCTCATCCTTCTGGGGGTTTATTGGCAGGTAGCAGGCACGCTGGAGAGGAAACAGGGAGAGGGAGATGAGAAGGGTAAACCCAAATGCCTCTGATAAAATACTTTTCTCACTATCAAAATCCATTTTGATAAAAATCAAAATTCATCTCCTTAGGGGAGATGAATTTCAACAATATTTTGTGCTGGGGAAAAGACCCAGCACCCTGGGTTCACATCAGGTGAAACACCTATTCATGCTACAGCTCCAGTGATGATTAGAGACATGCTCACACCCCCTCTAGCTGTTGCTCAACTCTTGCTTCCAGCTCTCTCTCACTGCTTAGAAGTTAACTCCCTCTAGTGCAGACAAAGTAACTATCCAGTGAGTGCTTCCAACCTACCATAGGGCAAAGTAAACCATGCACCTGACACACCTTTAGTGACATTAACCTTGTATAAAGGTGGGCTCAGGTAACTTTGCAACAGATTAGGAGCATGAACAAAGTCCATTATTACATTTCAACAGGGTACACAGTAACCAATAGGTCATGTTAAAAATTTTTTGCTGTTAGTTAACCTGCTCACTTTCCATTGCCCACCTAAATTTTAAGTTACAGGAAACAAAATATTTTTACTTTTCAAACTGCTCCAGCAGCCCATACTTTTTATTCCACGGTAAGCCTTGCTACTGCAAATTGTTATCATTTGGGGATTAAAAAGAAAAAAAAAATCTAAACAGAATCACAGAAATGTTTAGGTTGGACAGGGCCTCTTGAGATCATCTTCTAGTCCAACGTGCCTGCTCAGGCAGGGCCAGCTACAGCAGGCTGCCCAACACCATGTCCAGTCATGTTTGGAGTGTGTCCACAGATGGAGAATCTACAAACTTCTCTGGGCAACCTGCTACAGTGTTTGACTGCCCTCACAATAAAACAACAAACAGAGAACAATGTTTGCAGTGAAGCAGGCACAAGTAAGAGCTCCCCTTTTAAGGTAATTTCTCCTGTGGACTTTTCAACATCCCTAAATTTCTTTCCTAATTTTTTCCCCTTAAAAAAAAATAAATAAAAAAATCTAGAGTCAAACAGACTGCAACAGATCACAAGCAGCTTTGGGGACTGAGAAACTCCCATGTCCAGGATCTCATCTTTGTGCTTGCCACGGTACATTCAGGCTGTGTATCCAAACTTCTCCTGAGGCAAGAAAGCTGCTAACACAAGAAGCCACACTCAGCCCCTCAGATTTGCAATTCAAGTCACAAATGGCACCAGCATCAACAGAAGTCTCACTGCAAGTTCCAGGCACACATATCCTAGAAATATGCAAGACCTTCCCCAGCTGAAACTAATCTTAAAGTAAAGCAAAAGGTGTAGCTTGGAGAGTGAACATCAGGTTGTTTTCTCTCTCCTTTAGCAGTCCCACTGGTGAGGGTAGTCAGCGTGCAAAGGAGGACTTGGCTCACTTTCCTCTGCTCTTTGTTTCCCTTCGTGTTTAGACCAGAGACAAGATTGCACCAGTGCAAGACTTTGCGCTTAACAGTCAGCACGGTGCCTTTTAATAATTTCATCTGTCAAGATGCAAAAGGGGGCTTGGCCATTTATGAAAAGTACAAACATATTTCAGAAGAGTACCAGCCTCTTGCTTTGTCCTGGAAGGCCACAGCAATTGCACTGCAACTGATGCTTGGTACAAAACGGGCTTCTTCTGAAGCAAAAAGTTCTCCAGCAAGCCTCTGATCACCTCCTGGTCCACAGGGGCTGCAGTATCTGCACACATCAGCTTTTTTCTCCCATTCAGCAATCAACACTCAGAGCAGACAGCAGCTACTGGGTTAAAACCTACAACCCTATGAAGTCTCCTGCTCTGAGCAAAAGCTGTTCAGCTGTATCACGATAGGAAGCACAAGCACTGCTCTCTCAGCACAGCCACACAGAGCCGTGGCCATGCAGAAGCTATTTCCATTATGGTCCTTTACTAGTAGGTTACAGGCTCCAGAATAGCTCACTAACGCTCTCAAGCCCTGGCACAGGCTGCTGACCCAGTCCTGAGTTATCTGTGGCAATCACAGCTTGTGATGGGGGCCCACAGCACAGCAGCAACCGCCAGGCATCAGCACACGGCGATCATAGCCAGTACTGAAGACTGACCCCATGTACCAAAGGCAGCCCTGAGACACACACAGCCTTGCTGAGATCAGAGAGCAACCTGTCTGCATGAGCACAGTGACGCCACAAAGCTGCTGAGAGCGGTCATCAGCTCTGAGTTACTATTCACTGTCCCACCTCTGTCCTCCTCTCTTGACACACAACTGAAGCCAAGGTAACTGCTTTGCTAGGCCATTCTGCAGCTTTCCAAACTGCTGCACAGCCCTAAGGTCACTAAACACTGCAGACCCTAGAAAGAGGGGAAGCTTTCCAAAACATGAATCCTGTGAGCAAATTCTTTCATGGGGATGGGGGGGGGCAAGCAACTTGCAATATCCCACTTGTGATCCCTACCTGCCATGGATTTTATAGAGTCTTGCCCTGAAGGGGGAAATAACACCAGTGAAAGATACCAGCAGACCTTGAGAAACTGCAGTACAGACAATGCAAAACAAGACTCTCCACCTCCACGTTAACAGCCCCTCAGTAGGGATTAGATCTGACCCTGACTATACGTCCCACAGAATACAGGATGGCTGAGGTTGCAAGGGACCTCTGGAGGTCACTTGTCCACTTGCCTTGTTCAAGCAGGGTCACCCAGAGCAGGCTGCCCAAGATCATGTCCAGGTAGCTTTTGAATATCACCACAACTCTCTGGACAACCTGTGACAGTGCTTGGTCACCCTCACAGTAAAAAAGTTGATGTTCAGATGGAACCTCCTGTACTTGAGTTTGCATCTCTTGTCCTGTCACTGGACATCACTGAAATGAGCCTGCCTCTGCTTTCTTTGCCCCCTCCCTTCAGACATTTATATACATGGATGAGATCCTCAACAACCTTTTCTTCTCACAGCTCAATACAGAATCACAGAACCACAGAATGTTGGGGA